GTGCCGCGCATTCCTCAAGAGCTGCAAGTCTCTCCTAAACACAGCCACAACAAAGAATCTTTCTTTAACGAAATAGTCAAAAGTGAAAGCAAAGGATATCTACAACACATAATGCTCATGAAGAGAACTGGAAACTAACTTATATCTGCAAAACAAGGATAAATATCATCCAGTGCACCAGAGGATTTACCAGGTCATGAATGAAAGTCAGAGCTTGAAAATAAAATATAAATAATAATGCTAATAATAATAAAGAGAGTACCAGTGCTTGATCAGATAGCAGTGACTTGTCTGGATAAAATAAGTGTGCATGAGCTTCCTTATCTGCTCTCCCCACCCTTCCACGCAACTATAAACATTTGAAAAGGGGAAAATCGTATAAATTATCTCCAATTTGATGTTAATGTTACGACTTATGACTCAAATAGAGGAAGACCTGGTACAATTGTGCTAGGCCAAACTGTTGAACATCCTGAATTATAATGGTGTTTGCATTTTGAATGTCGAGACCACTTTCCACTATATTAGTGCAAATGAGAATTTTGATATCCCCTTGTGCGAATTTCTCCATCGTTTCCTCCAGCTGCTTTGAATATTGCTGCAAGAACAATGAACAGATCGAATATGCAATCATCTGGCTCCTGTTTTATAATATTCCTGTCATTAACATGTCCTCCTAATGTTGAAATCTCATTAATGGCATTAAAATCTTCATCGTTGGGGCCTAATTTAGTTTTTATTCCAGCTCCCTTTGTTAGATAGAAAATGATAGGCGAAGGAGTAAGCACCTTTCCATGTGCGACAGCTATTTCAACATTTGGAAACGACTGTTCAAGAAACTCCATGACTTCTTCAAGTCCTGAACAAAAAGATTGTTTTATCTTAGCATTTATTTGTCCGCAATAAACTCCGCAAAATTACAGATTACCAACAGAGTTTTAAGTTTAACAAGAGTAACCAAAGAATTGTAGATAGAATTATTAACAAAAGGGTGTCACCTTTAATGCGAGGCAGAACATAAAACACTTGGCCACCTCGATCCAGCTCATACTTAATTGCTGATACTACCTTTTCTTTACTGTATGCTGAAAGATGGGTCTTTATAGGAACTCTTTCTGGAGGTGGAGTTGAAATCAAACTGGAAAAGAGAATAAGGATACAGAACTACAACAGCATAAAATTACAGGACCAGCAAGAGCAATTTACAAATATAAGTCTGCTGTATAACAGAATTTAGGCACGTTGGAATGGCTGACCAACTAGGTTGTGCCCCATGTGAGATGTGCTTTTTGACACCTTAGCTATTCATTCTGCTAAGAAAGGCTAATTTTTTGAAATTATTTATCTTCAATTAATGTTCACAAGCTTCTTCATAATCCTTGCACGTTTGAGGTTCCAAATTTAACTCCGCTTTAACCGCATATTATTGCTCATGAAAAGCATTTTTTTCTGAATAATAATAATAACAACCAACTTGATGTTGTGAATCACCATGACAAGTTAATTACCTAGCATCACGGAACCCAGTCAAGGCTAAATAAAGGGTTCTTGGTATAGGTGTTGCAGATAAAGTGAGAACATCAATTGAAGTCTTGAACGAAGCGATTTTCTCCTTCTGTTTGACGCCAAACCTCTACAAGAAAATATGGAAAGAAGAGCAAGGAAGAAAATTCTGTAAGTCAAGAACCAAGAGAGGAGAGGATTCATTGGAGATAGTGAAAAATAGATTAAGAACACAAACCTGTTCTTCGTCAACCACAAGAAGGCCTAGATTGTTATACACAACTCGACTTCCAAGAAGCGAGTGAGTCCCAACAATAATGTCAAGGTGACCATTTTTTATCATGTCCAGATGTTCCTCTTTCTCAGCTCTTGTCTGCATGTTGTAACAGTAATCATCGGTCTATTCAAAGCAATATATGAAACTCTAAATACAATAGCATGATCTTGGACTCTCGTGTCTATAGAAACCATACATCTAAATAAGAAGTGGAAAATTACGGGTATTCATTAATTTTCAAGGGCGTAGAACTGAGCAAATCAAAGTACCGGTTTTAGCCATGTTTGCACAACTTGAAAAGCCATCTTCCTAGAAAGCAAAAATGGGGTTAAACAGAAGGGACACATTCATATGAAGGCTTGTCATACCTGAAACCTGGTAAGAAGTCCAACCTCGATATTTGGGTACATAGAAAATCTCTGAGAAATGACATCAAAGTGTTGTTTGGCCAAAACAATTGTGGGTGCCAAAACCATCGCTTGCTTCGCTGCAGAGACCACGCAAAAGATGGCACGTAAAGCAACTTCAGTTTTACCGAAGCCAACATCCCCACAAATCAGGCGGTCCATAGGGGTGTGTCTCTCAGTCAAATCCTTCTCAACATCTATAAAAGCCTGTATGTGCAAACAATAAGGACAAGAAGGATTTCTATATAAACAACCGGCCAAACTTCAGCCAAACTTCAAACAAACAACACAACACACATCCATCATCATCATCATCAGTAGAACTGTAGAAGAAAGTACAAGGAAGGAAGATAGATACTGGGATACCTGCTTCTGATCGGGGGTGGGCTCGTAAGGAAATTGAGCGGCAAAATCAGCCATGTCAGGAGTTTTGGGGTAGGGAGGGCGTGTTTGCTTGAGACGATGCAAATAAAGCTCCATCAAATCCACCACCATTTTCTGGATTGCGAGCTTTCCTTTAGTCTTTCGTTTCTCCCAGACACTGGTGTCGCTCAGTTTGCTTAAGGTTCGAGGCTTTTTGGATTCATTGGGGCTGAAACGAACGAATACAGGTCATGAATCCTCCATGACTAGAAAAACTCAAAAGAGAGAGAGAGAGATGTTGGACTTTTATTTACATTGACATGTTCATATTTGAAGGGAAACAAAACCTGAAATGCAGAACGAAACCTCCTACTCCTAATATTACCAACATCTAATATATATATATATATATATTATGTATAATAGCATTCGAATGTAGTAGAGAGACTAGTTTATTCATTATTTTGTTTGTTACACCTACACCTGAGAGACATCCACAAGACTAGACTAGAGTAGAGTAGAGTAGAGTAGAGCAGGGAATGGTAGAATCCTGAAAACTTCACAACGAAATGAAATGAAAATAATTAATTAACAAAAGAAAAATGGAGAGGTCAGAGGAGGGAGCGTACAGATTATAGCGATAAAGAAGACGAGAGGCCTGGGATAGAGGAAGCTTGGCCATGCCATCGGAGTATTCGATGAAGACGTACTCAACAGGCTCAGAGCCGCCGCCTTTGCCTTTGCCTTTGGGAATGTCGAACTTGATGCCGACGAATCTGCCGACGCCGACCTTCCTGTGGACGACGTAGTCGCCGGAGCGGAGAGAGTAAGGGTCGACCTTGTAAGAGAAAGACTTTTCCTTTTCGTTTTGGTCGGGTTTCTCCGCTCCGGCGCGGCGCTTGAGGATCTGGAGGCCACGCTGCTGCTGCTGCTTGACCATGCGGATGTACTTGTCGGCCTCTTGGGCGTCGACGCTTCGGCTTCTGGAAGAATCGTCTCTCTGGGAATGGTCCCTTCGAATGCGCTCGTTCAACGCAGAGATGTCGTCTTCGTCGGAATGGAAGGATTTGGAGACGGAAACTCCTCCTTGTCGTTGAGTTTGGGTTTGGGTTGAGACGGCTTTCGCTAACACCATCCTTCCTCCTCTTCTTCTTCTTCTTCTTCTTCTTGTTGTGTAGAAGAAGAGGCCATTGGCGGCTGTGATGGCGGTGGTCGTCGGAGACGAGAAGAGGTTCCTCCAAAATGGACATTGTCGTGAAGAGATGTCTTGAATTGGGAGGATAAATAAGGCCATTTGATTGTTGTGAGAATTGATTCCTCAAGAATTGATTTTTATATTATATTTATATTTACTTATATATTTGGAGGACGTTTTCATGGTGTTTGGTAGAGAATACGATCTCTATTACTACTACTAATCCTATAAATAGTAGAGTCATACAGCAATGGAGGTTTTGCAGGGGGTTTAGCTTTATTTATTTATTTATTTATTTTTATTTTGAAAATATCTTCTGTAATTGGACAGACAGAGAGACAGACAAATAGGCTCCGCCCGTTTTTCTTCTCTAAATCTAATCTATTTCCATATTTATTTCCTATTTCCATTCGTAGAGTCTCATTCACTGATTCGAGTTTAAAATTTAAATTTTTTTACAGTAAAAAATTTTCATAAACAATCACATTTAATTTTTTTACTACAATAAAAAATTTTCACACAAAATCACATCTCAACTCAAATTCTAAAAATAAAAAAAAAATAAAAAAACTTTAGATATTTTTCGTTGGACTTTTCCATATTTATTACCATGGCCCCCTATGCTTTGTCGTCCGGAAGTAAGAATGGGCGGCCACTTTTAAACAGTTGAAACAAAAAAGCCCAAGAGCTTGAGCTTGATCATCATGACCACTAGTAGGCGACGTTGGTTGATGAAGGCAAGAGAGGGGATTCACCTGAGCCTTGTGCAGCCGCAGGCACAGAAATACTCCAAAAAGCTACCAGCATTAGAACCGCATACCAATTCATTCTCTTCTCCATCATCATTCTCCACACTCCACTCCACCAATGCATATATCTCAGTAACTTGCTAGTGCAGCACTTGCCACCTTTATCTTTGATTCTTTTCCCATTTATATATTTATATACACAAATTAAGGGCACACACACACACACACACACACACACACATATATATATATATATATATATATATATCAACTCACTTACCACTTATTCAAGAATGGACATTGGACTCTCCCCCTCTTTATTCATCATCATATTATAACAGAAAAAGTTTTAAGGAAAAAGAAAGAAGAAATAAGAAAAGTTTATACATTGGAGCCATCTGGTGAATTCCTGAAAGGTGGAATACATATGAATGCCATCTGATGGATTCTATATACACATTAGCCAAACCGGAGGACCACCAGAAGCAAAGAAAAAAGAGTGCTTCTTTTAACCAAGTTTCTGCTACCAATTATATCCTACAAATCATCTCTTCATCCTTGAACTACTTCTTCTAGTTCTATTCCTTTCTTCATACCTGGCAGGCTCAATATATATATATATATATATAACCCTGTCAAGTCAAACCTTTCAGCATTTAGAAAATTCCCTCAAAAACGGGGGGGACTAGACATAGTATATCATGCCAACTTCAATCAGACTGATATGCGGAATATTAAGCGCCACGGCTGGGCCCCGGCAGTTCTTCCGCAGAAAAGAATATCCAATGTCGATCACAAGCTTCTTCAGAAATGATGATGAGCGCCTTGCCTTCACATACGAATGCCCCATTATATACGCGATGCCCGCTTCTTTGGCCTGGATCAAATCCATCAGCTCCTCCCTAACTGCGGGATCCATTCCAGGGTCTGAGGGCAACTGAAACCTTACTTGGCGTCTCCTCGTCTGTGGGTTCTCATCATCATAGACCGAGCGTAAACTCTGGAGGGTCGGAGATTTGCTGCTCTGAATAATGGAACTGCTCACGCCAGGATCCTCTTGCTCGGACACCGCCATGCTCAAGCTCGACTGCAAACTTCTGGTGCTTATGACGGCCATTCTCCCGTCCAACGACGAGCTCTCGAAGCCTGAAAACTGTGGTTCTACTGCTTCCATCTGGATGAACTCCGCTATGCTCTGTATTAGCTGGTTCTCAAAGTCCCCATCGTCTCGTTGAATGTCCTTGTACCCGTACCTGACAATGCATCTGTACATACGATAGGGTCTTGGACAAATCCGACCGATGAGGAATCTTTCCTCGGGCGAAACATAAGGAACCGGGACTGATTTGACACAAATGAAAACCAACACTTTGTGGAATGCCGGGAGGTTTGTTACAAAGTGAGAGAATATTGCCGGAACTCCAGTTGCCAATTCCGAGTATATGAGGCCTATTCCGGGAACACGGACAATACCAAGGCTGGGGCCCAGGCCAAGTAACCACTTCAGCGACACTTTGTTGTGCAGATCAAAGTTATACTTCCTCCGCGTCCCGTAATGCCAGACATACATGACGACCATAAATATGGATGATAGCACAAGGGGGACCCACCCTCCCTGAGGCACTTTTATGAATGCTGCAGATAAATAAACGCCCTCGACTAACCAAAAGAACACAAGGAAAACTGCAGCTAGCATTATACTTTTCTGCCAAACGAAGATGATCACAAGCGCCATAAGGAATGTTGTGACGAACATAACCGTCATGCAAGCAAGTCCTACAAATCAAAGTGAAAATAACAATTTAGATAGAGTGGATTAATGCTAGTGTAAAATCTACTTGTGATCAATGCTGTCATTTTCACCTTTCGTTTTTCCTTTTTAATTATTTTCTTCTACAAATGTCTTATCATGGTATTGGTTAAGGCTACTTCATGTTGAGTTGGAAAAGTTTAAGAATTTAAGGTAATTGCAACTGAAATAGAATGTCTTGAAATCATACATTGCACAGGTGCACGCATACAATCAAGGAACATCTTTAATCTTACCATAAGCATTCCCAATTAAAGTTGTATCTTGAAATCCAATGGTTATGGAAAGAGTAAGGATCATCAGTATCCAGTTGATCTCTGGGATGTAGATCTGGCCATATATGTGTTTCGAGGTGTGGACAACTTTGACCCGAGGGAAGCAACCAAGGGCATGGCATTGCTTGATAATGGAGAAAGTAGCGGTTATGACAGCCTGACTGCCAACAATAGCTGCAAGTGTAGCGACAACAAAGACCGGCCAAAATACAGGTTCTGCGGGTTAAGAGACGACAGAAAACAACATTAGACCAACTCAAATATGCATAAAGTAATTCTGTAAGCAATATAAGTTAATGACAGAAGTACAAACCAGGTATCGAATTATAGAAACTGTAATTAATCATCCCGGGGTTTTTGGACAAGAAAGCAGCCTGGCCCATGTATTGTATTACCAAACATGGGTAAACAACAAATGCAAATGCAAGCTGCAAATACAAGCAAAGTCAATAAAATTTCTTCTGTAGAAAGCCAAAGAGCATTTAATACGTCATGGCGAATAGGGGCGTGCAGTGGTTTGGGCTTTGGGTGTAAATAAACTTGATTTATGAAGTGTTAGGGCCCCTCCTATCAAGTTGCAAATTGGATAAAACCACTTCCGGGGCGGGGGGTTGTGTAATTTAGAGAAGTTTTGTTGACATGTCAATCTTGTTTCAATTCTGTTATGAGGTCACGTTGAGTTCTGGGAGGGTGTGAATTAGTTATGCCTTCGGTTATCGAGGGAATATTAAAAGGGAGAGATGCAAGGGAGTGGGGTATGAAAATTGTTGTCATTGCAGTCTAGAACTAGGGAGGCAGAGGAACCTCGAACTCCTCCTATCTGTATTTCCGTTCAATTTTCCCTTCAGTTGTTTGAAAATCAATAAAGATTTACCCAGAATTCCTGGGGTTCTATTAGCTTGGTATCAGAGCCACCGGTCCCATGGCCAACGTTCCACCTGAACCGCGCATTTCTAAACGTATCACGACCCTGGAACACTGAATGGAAGACATCCACGAAGGCGTGCAGATAATGGGAGCTATGGTTGATCGCGTTCCGCAATTGCAAGAGAACGTCGATTGGTTGGATAATAGAGTGGGGGAGCTTCAAGGATCGATGCAGAGGATAGAAGAGTTGTTACAGAGACAGGCGAGGATCGTCAACAGAGGCCAACCGAGGAGAGAGCCAGTCAGAAATCCCAATCGGACTCCACCGAGACGCGAACCGGAGAGAGGCTAAGTGGTTAACTGCGAGGAATCTCCGGTCCCAAGGAGGGAAGGGGATGAAGTTTACCGCCGACCGTCGCCGGTCCGGCAGCGGGGGTGTGGGGAATTCCGTGGGAAGAAACTGGAGCTCCCTATCTTTCAGGGCGAGGATCCATATGGTTGGGTGTTCCGAACTGAGCGATACTTCCCCGTGAACGAGATTGAGGATGAGGAGCGGATTTTGGCAACTTCGGTATGTATGGAAGGAAGAGCCGTGGGGTGGTTTCAGTGGGTGGATACACAGGACCCTTTTACCAATTGGAGGGATCTTCGGACAGCCATCATCCAGTGCTTCAAACCGTGCCCGCGAAGGAGAACCGACAGAGAGACTGATGTCACTCAAGCAGAACCGACGGAGAGACTGATTTCTAATTCTATTAGGCATAAAAAAACAAGTTTTACCAAAAACTCACCCTAATAGACAAGGCAGTGAAATGACCAAGGTCCGCAAACATAGCTTCAGTGCCTGGTAAGAAGCAGAATGTCTATTGTCAGTATAAACAAAATAACAGTTAACTCAACCAGATGACTAGAGGCAGTCCAAACACAAGCCAATACACATGATACTTATTTAAGGAAAATTCAATCAGATTCATATCCAACAACCAAACATACCAGTTATAGAGAGAAGGACCCCGCCGAGAGAAATCCAACCTTCTTTACCAGTCTCCCTAAAGAACTTGATGATATAATGGGGCGAAAATCCATAAACAACTTTTGGGTTCCAGCGTATTGTGTTGTAGAGCCCAATGGAAAAGATTGATACCAACCAGATTAATACGACAGGTGCAAACAAAAATGCTACTCTGTGCGTACCACAATGCTGCAGGGCAAACAAACCCACCAATATAACGCAAGCGAGCAAGACAAGTTCACCTACGAACAAATCATAAATATATAAGGTGTTATGTTAGTCATGTATATGATGCCAAGTGATTATCCCAAAGAATCAAGTTAGTAACGGTCCAAATATGATGGTTATAATGCCCCCAGAAACTATGAGTAATTATATGACTAAAGAATCGAGTATGAAATGATGACGAAAAAGGAGTTACCGTTTGTCAATTTCTTTTCTGTAACTTCAAGGCCCGAAACTGATGAAAGAACTGCAAGTGAGAAGAGACAGAAGCCAACATAAGTTAGCTCTACAATCTGCTTGGGTTTAAGGGAGGGGGAAAAAAAATGAGGGAGTTACGATTATGGTTTTATTTCGTAAAAATAAAGGATTGAAGTGCTAAAATAAGGTAGCAACAACAACTCAAAGAATGCTACTTGCAGATTATGCGAAGCAAAAAAACTGTGGCCATAGAACCTGAGATTGCAGGAGTGAGGACACCATCTCCTATGACCATGCAAGCACCAAACAACACCACAACCAATAGGGCCGTCCTCAGGCGTTTATGCTTCTCCAAAAACCTCTTTAAGGGAGAGGAGGCGAGGACCTGCGATGAGGAGGGGCCGTACTTGTATGCGGAGAGCTCTTCATCAGCGGCTTGCTGGTTTGGAAGGAGACTGAACTTGGCGTGCCGGCAGAGCAGCGAGTAAAGAGCAAAAGTGCCACCTGAAAGAGAATCGAACATTAAAAGATTGAGGCTTGAATTTGAAAATGGGAAATAGCAAGTGTGAGAGGGCGGCACACCTTCACCATTGTCATCGGCACTCAAGAGGACAAAGACATACTTAAGTAAGGGTATGAGAGTGAGAGTCCAGAAGATCAGGGAAAAAGCACCAAAGACGGCATCCTCGCTTATGTGCTTGTCCAATTTGCCAGCAAAAGTGCTCGAGTAAACGTAGAGAGGAGAAGTACTCAGGTCTCCGTATACCACACCGAAGCTCTGATACGCTAATATCAGATTCCTCGAAAGACTTGTCCACGAAACCTGCAACCAACGAAACAGATTATATTATTATGCTATGGAGTGAGACTGAGTGAGCCAATTGATGATAATATCATACGCTTGTTATTATTACTAGATTAGATTAGAATAGATAGTTTTAACTAACAGTGAGAAGCACTTTTTTTGACATTACTGATTATGCATTCTGATTTGTTCTGATACGTACATACATATACATATAAAAGAAGAAGAAGAAGAAGAAGAAGAAGAAGAAAGAAAGAAAGAAAGGGGCTATAGAAAAACGCAGTGCAGAAATACATTAAATAAAATATTAGTAACAGTAATCAAGGACAAGAATAAAAGGGTAACGACTAGGTCTAAGAAAAATCAGGAGCAGCAGAAATTAAAGGGGGGTTTTTTTATTTCCTGCGAGTTTGATAAGTGAAAATGAATTGTGAAGAAATCAAGGAGAGTCATATAAATGTGAAATTAACAGAAGAAGAAGGGTGGGAAGGGAAGATCCGAACTATATTTGGTGAGGGAGAGAGAATCACCCACGAATCTATGACCATCTAACATCTATCGGTTCGATTACAATTAGAGTTGGATTGAATAAAATGACATTCGAGTAGAGTAATATGAATATCTATCTATTCATAAATATTAATTTTGATTGATTGAAAAGGAAAAAAATTAAAAAAAAAAAGAGAGGAAAAAGAGAGAGAAAGAGAGAGCGGTTAAGCTGCCTGGACCCGAAGAGTAGTGGACTCCATCGACATCTCTGCCTGATGCTGCTGCTGCTGTTATTTATGTATAATTATCATGCGATCTCTCTTCTCTTCTCTTCTCTTCTGTATAATATAGTAATATAATAATTGAACTACGACCCGCACTGGACTGGAGGAGGAAGGAGACTGACAAAACTATTATGTGATCTCATTTCTTTTAATCTCCACACAAATTTAATCTCAGTCTCCTTTGCTCTTTCTTTCTTGATTCTGCCCCCAAACTCAATTCAATTGCTCTCTTTTCTTTTCTTTTACTATGTCTGTTTTTCTGACAGCAACAAATTTATTCATATGTGAAAAGAACAATCATGTATAAGAAAGTCGAATATGAAATCCGAATCGGTAATAAAGTTTCCAAATGGATAATCATAGAGAGACTAGAGAGGACCTATTCCACGGTGCGTGCACCTGTTTCCAATCACCAAAATCAAAAAGGATCCGTGGTTTTTTCTTTTTTCTTTTTTCTTTAGATGTAATGATCAAGCGTTGGAAAATAAATAAATAAATTAAGGGCCGTTTAGTTCGCTGATTCGAGTTGAGATGTGATTTTATATGAGAGTTTTTTATTATAGTAAAAAAGTTAAATGTGATTATTTGTGAGAGTTTTTTACTGTAATAAAACTCAAATTCTAAACTCAAATCAGCAAAATAAACGAGGTTTAAAAATATTTAACCAATCACCAAAGACCAAGGTGGGGGTTACAATCCTATCGAAAAAACTAGGCGGACGTTAGAAATTGGTTTCTGCAATCCGCGTTATGCACACGGAGGCTTGCGCGTAGAATCCAAACCCACCAAAACGCGCGTCTTCAAAAGGAAATAGCATAAATTTTCTTTGCATTTTGGACTTGAGAGACATTGGGCTAATCAAATCCAGTTAACCACTTAAATTCAAATTGACACGAATAAGTGCATGCCAAAGGCTCGAAAATGCAAAACACCTTGCCAGGGATGTTTGTTTAAGGATTTTTTTTGAAAATGTGTTTAGTAATTTTATCAAGTGATTATTTTTAGTATAAAAAATTATTAATGTATCTCTCTCTCTTTCTCTCTGTTCGAGAGAAGAGAAAATGAAAATAAAAAATAAAAAACGACTAGTCGTTTTTAATTTCTCTCTCATTTTACACTAAACCAAAAAATCATTTTTATTTTCGTTTTTTGTTTTTATTGAGCCAAAAACCGTTTTAAAAACGTTTTCATTTTTTTCTTTGAAAAATGTGAAAAATAAAAACGGGATCAATTCCAAACACGGCCATTGTTCTTGATTCTCTATAGTATTTTTCTCTCACAAAAAATTTAAATTTCAAAAATCATAATCATGAATCATAATTAAAAATTGACTTTCTCAACTTTTAAAACTTAATGATCATATTAAAAAATAGATTTAGCATTTAAAACAATATTATGTAAGGATAAAATCATTTTAGTACCTTGTACTATAGCGAAATATACTCTTGGTATCATGTATTTTTGATAATATTAAAACGGTACCTTAATGTTTTTAAAAGCATATTCTTAGTACTCTGAAGTTGATTTTTAAAACGTAAAATGACCTTAATACTATTTTTATTTAATTAACTAAAAACTAATAAATTTAGGAAAAAAATCATGAACTTTTTTATTTTGTTGTTTTCTTTTAAATATTTTAATGTTTTAAAATATTTTTAGATTTTTTTTAAATATTGATTTATATTTAATTAGCAAGAAGAGTAGTTTGAACATTACATGTTCTAGAAGTCAGTTTTAAAGTACTAAGAAGATATTTTTAAAAATATTGAAATATTGTTTAAAAATATAAAATACTAATAACATATTTTATTATATAACAGAGGATATGAAGATAATTTTATCCCTATTATATCATAAATAAAAGTAACAAATCTTATGACATTTTTTGGTGTGAATATAATATTTCTATTGATAAATCTTTTTTAGTTAGGAATTTCGAATTCCCTTCCAATTTGTATATTCCGGACACCTTGTCAGCTTCCCCTCTCTATCACACCCTATAATAAATTCAGAAAGTGTAGCTTCTTCGCAACTTCCTAAATCTTTTTGTTTTCCCCTTTTAAAATGCAAAAATCAATACTAACGACAACATATGTCATCTTGAAAATTACAGCTTCTTCCCGAATAATAATATAACACAATTGTCTATCCTTATCCACTCTATAACTACAAACGAAGGTAGTTTAAAGAAAAAAAAAAGTTTTAAAAAAGGCATATTACATTGCATGCGCCTGTATCTAATTAATTGGCTTCAAATCAGACGAGTTGACTGTCCTTTTAATGAAATAACTAAACATATTTATTTAATTATCAAAAAACTAAACATATTTATTTATTATAATCTAAGGGCTTTTTTGTCTACATGACAAAATGGATGGATAAAGCGGTGATTGACTTATTTGTACTAATATGTGTACCTTAGACACACACACACACCAACTGAAATCTAAACAGTAGATACTAATAAAGGACATGTAGAGTTTGTTAACACATATTTATCTGTTTCTCAATTTTAACTGATAAAAAAGAAAAAAAAAAAAAAAAAAAACAGATATACAATTCTACATGTTTATAAGCCTTATCACATATATGTACGTCCTTTGGAAGCTAAGTTTTAGGTTTGTGAAAATGATTTGATTCAATTAAATTACAAAATACCATAGTCTGTAATATATAGGCGCACACACATACAAGTCTAACATTTCTCCTATAATTGTGACGAGTACTTATTAAATAAAGTAGAAAAGGTACAATATTAATGACAAAAAGGTTACTTCTAAAACACCGAGTATTCTGTGCGGTGTGAGCCCAATATTTGGGCTGGAAGAGTGGTTAGGCTTTGGGCCTAGTCCCTTCACAACGCATGCCCAAAGCAAGTAGAAAAAATAGGAGAATTTACCCGTGGATTGAGTCTCAACTTTTATCATCAAATATCTTTTTTATTAGCGTAGTTATTTGACTAAAAAGATTACAAATCAAGAGTAAAAAGTTAGGAATGAATGCATGAAAGTGCGTCTGAGAAGCATATAAGAATGAATAAACGAGCAAGGTCAAACGTGAGACGTGAAGATCATTACATAAAAGGAAATCAAAATGAATACGACGGAAACATTGATGTATAATAACATAAGATAGGTACAAATAGTGAAATTAATTAGAAGCAAACCAAACAAATAAATTAAAGAGCAAAATAATTATGAAAGAGAGGATACATACAGTACATCCATCTTGTATGCTCACTCTCATCTCGAAAAGAAATTAACACGCACACGAAGTCACTAAAAAAGAAGACTAGTGGTAGACTAGTAGTTGAGAAAGTGATTGAGAAGATGGATTGGATCAGAAGAAAAAGGAAGAGGAAGTAGTAGTAGAGCCCAAATCAAAGGGGTCGGGAAACTGGGACTGGGACTGGGAGTGATGATGATCAGAATTAGAGACAGAAGGCATTGTGCTAAACAAAGGGCTGTGCACATAGTTAGAGTTATAACTATAATTATAACCATACTGATCTTCGCAGCTGGAATCCTGCATCATCATGTTCATGGCCCCTGCACCTGCCTGCATAATATTGCTGCTGTTGCTGTTACTAGTACTAGCAGTATTACAATTATAATAATGGTATTGATCATCCGAATTAAACTCCGAAGCAGGAAAAGGAGGAAGCTCGCTGCTGCTGCTATTGATTATTGCCATAGGATGACGATGATGATCTTCATCGTGATCATTGCTAATGTAGTTGTAGTTCTCATGCTGGTAATTATTGTTACTCATGATGACCTGCGCCTGCGCCCTGTGAATGCCATTGGCTTCGCCCAAACTCATCATCATCATCATCATCGCCTCATCCTGATGATCGTACAGTAGTTGTGGCTGAGGAGTGGGGTCCGGAGGCGGTGCTTGAGTGACGAGGCCGCCGAGCTGTTGGTGGCGGCGGCGGTCATCATGATCATGACCGGCCGCGGCTGCAACATTAACGAACAAGTGGCCGTTCTGATCATCGGGGGAAAGAATGGAGGTGACAGAGGAGCCAGGGGGCATGTCGGAGTAGACGAAATTGGTGCGGGCGCGGGAGCCTCTCATGGAGCGGGCGGCTCTGTCGTAGGCGAGGGCAGCTTCCTCCGCGGTGTCGAAGGTGCCCAGCCAATGCCTTTCTTTTGTGGAAGGGTCTCTTATCTCCGCAGCATATCTTCCCCACGGCCTTCTTCTCACTCCAAGAAACCGAGGACTAGTTTTATCATCAGTACCGGCCTGCACCAGATCTTGCTTTTTCTTCATCTTATTATTACTATTGTTAATATTGCTGCTCATCTTGAATCATCCGCAAATATATATGTATATATAGATATTCTTCTTCAAACTCACTTGCTCCTGTTGTTTTGATGTGGGTGTGAATATATGTTATATGTGTATATAGCAGGCAGGCTTATTTATAAGTACGATATATAAGAGTTTTTGTTGAGGTGATGGTTCTGCGTCGGAATATATAATCCTTTAAATAAGAGGCCAACCTCCCCCATACTAGCTACCTTACTCTCCACCCTTTTCCTTCCTCTCTCTTTTCTTTATTGTTCAGTTATTTATTTTATTTATTTTTATGTGTGTGAGATATTAATGTTTATTATTAATCTTCAATCTCTCGTTGTTGATTAATTCCTTTTCTTTGCGCTGCCCCTGCATTTTGACTAGCTAGGCGCGAACACATATGCTTATGTTGGCCGCTATTATGTCTATTCTCGAAAAAGAAGATGGCCAGTACTACTGTTGTAATTAATTAATCATATTTATGCAATTCTAAATCCATGATTATATAAATTGATATACATAGCTCAAATTAAAAGGACCGGCCCATGAGTCATATATATATATATAAATATGTGAGTTACCAATGATGGGGATTGAGGTAATTTAAAAGAGCTAGCGCTGAGATTAGAGATATCATGATCATATCGATCATCAGGTACAAAAATATACATAATTAGTCGACATGGGGCTCTCACCATTAAATTAATAATAAATTAGAAAGGATGATATTTGCCATGATAAGTATGCATGTTCTCTTAGATACCAATTATATCATGTTACATGATTATTCCCCAATCAAAAACTTTTCGTCTACTCACCATATAAAATAACTAATAATTCCTGTTGATGTCCATATCTATATGTCACATGCACTCCAATTAAAATCCCCTTTCCCCAATCTAATCCCTCTTAGTAATGTTTTCTCTTTTTAGTCAAATGATACACTACTGTTCGTCTGTTCCATTCCATGAACTAGGAACTAAAAATCATCTAGACCTATAGCTAAGCCAAATCTATGTTTATAATTTTTTTTTGGTAATTAAATCTAAGTTTATAATTACTCCACTAGTCAAGTCGCATCATGTACTAAAAAAAACCCACAAAAAGTTTTTTTTTTTTTTTCCCGCCCGATGAAGCAACATCACTTGTGTCAATAAAAATAAAAATAAAAGCTTCACTAGATAATGATCATTGCAGATGGAGGAGCTGCATGCCCGCGGGCTTGTGAAATCATGCAGTAGTTAATTTGAGGTTTCATGATAATATCGATATGATTACATCCAAGCCACATATACACTGGTGATCATTAGAACACTTTTGGGTACTTAGTTATTTTATATGACATCTTTTTGGGATCAATATATTTGCCATCATTACTTATATGGGCTTTCAACTCGATTATCCCCTGGATTTGCTTTGTGATACACCTCGCGCATGCATATGCCTTCTTTTTCACATCCAAGTAAGCGAGTTTGAATTATATTGATTGATAATCGGTCACAATCTTAATATTTATTGGGTTTTTTTAGTTGGCAATTTATTGGCAGCGATTAAAATTAAAAAAAAAAACCACACACACACGTTCAAGATTATGTAGAAAAGCCGAGGTGAAGATTGACCAAGTTGCAGCAGTTATGAAATTTGAATTAAAGAGATATTTGAAAGTGCTGCTGATTTTAAATGTGGGATTTCAAGATATAAATGCCGAGATAGAAGATATGTTTTGGTTTGAAATTTAATAAGTGTGCTACATAGATCTATCATTTATTTATATAAATGATTTAAAGTTGCATGGCTTATCCACATGAAGCCAACGTGAGGGATAATGTGAAGTTACAAGCCAGAGTGTGACGTGAAGAATTAATTAGATGGTTTATCTGAAGAAGCAAACCGTGGAGATGATGGGTGCAGATAAAGTGTGAAGATAATTAGCAGAATAATTTGAATTACACTAGTAGTCATCTGGTTGACGTTTACAAATAGTAGAAGGCTCAAGGTTGCTCACTTTATGTACGGGTTTAATACAACATTTTTAGAAAATAGTCTATGAGTTTTTGTAAGCTTTATGTGTTATTGAGATCGTCATTCAGGAGAGGGATTAGAGGAAACGCACTGTCAACCGAATGGATTTTACCATGCAATTTTTGAAGACGAGTGGTGCTCACTTAACAAAATCATAAAGTAGATTCGACACGGCGACGACATTGTCGAAGAGAGAGTCTGTATAAGTTTGATTGGTGATTGTAATCATTGATACTTAGCGGGTTGTTCACTATCTGAGCATGACCCCGCATATATAAGTGGTTACCGAACCGTGATACTAATTCCTTCCGTGCCTATTTATTTATTTATTTCGTAGTCTATTAATTTAGTTCGATAAAATAATTACGAACAACGGATCTAACAATATTAATCATCAATTATTATGTCATATATTATTTTTTATGTATACAGTACTAAAAACTAATTTCTCATATGCATATCCCAACCATTCATTTTGGTCCAATAAAAGATAAAACAATTAATCAGATATAATAAATATTTGAATGAGATGTGTTATATATATATATATATGTATGTATGTATGTATATATATATTTTCAATAAGGACGAGTAGAGTGGAAAGATTATGTATTTTAATGGGGTTCATCCACTTATAAGATCACGTTAATTCTTTAGTGAGAGGTTTAAGGAGCATTATTGCTCATCCATGTGCATCCGATTTTTGAACCATGCCATTTAAATCAATGATAAGTTCCACGGTCTCTTTTATATCTTTTCAAAACCACCAGAAGCTTCCCTCTCTATCTATCTATCTATCTATATCTTTTTTCCTTTTTTTTCTTTTCTTATTATTTTCATTTTTAATTCTGTTATATTTTAGATATACTTTTTGAGAGAGATTTATTGTTATCATCATGTGATTAAAAATTCCCTTTTTCAACTACAATATTCTGATTTCTGAAACAGAAAGGGGACTAAAAACAAGTGATTGAGAGAAAACCTTTAATTTGTTGGGTTGCATGTGAGTGAAACATATATTTTAGGTAGGTACCCCTTTCTTGAAGAAAACAATACCAAACTTACTCCCCTTTTGACCAAATGTCTCATGCTTACGTCCTCCATTTACTCCCAACGTTTATGGTTTACATGTACTCAACATTACAGAGATAATGCGACCATCTCCGGTCCAAATTGCATATTTAATATGTTATTTTGACACAAAGATATAGCATATATATATAGGCCAAATTTAGCATTGGAGAATAATGTTGTATAATCAGAGAGTACTGTTTTTCCTGTTCAAATTATCACATTAATTAGACACTGTATTCGAGATGTTCTCATAACATATTGTAGTGGATTGATCATACCGTTCAAAACTTGTAACATGTATATATATATATATATATATATATATATATATATGGCAACTAGTCAAAAACGCCTCCCATTTGTGAGAGTTTAGTACATGACTCTTTTAACAGAAAGTTCCTGAGTTGTTATGTTATGAAAACTAATGTTTTCTTCATTAAAGTTGGCTGAAACTAGCTAGCACCGATCTTGACTCTTAGTGTGTGTTTCTATATAACTATATCTATATGTCATATCATTCTTATGACAGTCGTGACATTGTTGCATACAAGTATAGAAAACTATACATATATATATATATACATGTATAAATATATGAAGTGCCATATATATATATATATGTAGTCATTGATGAAGACGACATTAGGAATGTTTTCATGTTTAAGTGCACATGCACACGTTGATAATAAGAATATTGTTATGTGCAGTAATATGATAGGTAGGGATTTTGATTCACCCAAGGACACTATTAATTAAGTAGGGTCAAAAACAGCTACCTTGGAAGACTTTAAGACTTTTCACTTTTATGTGCAGCCAAGTTGATGAAATAGGATAATTAAGTAAAATTGGCATTGGGATTTGGAGTATTAATGTCCTTTTCTAAATTGTAGGAATAAAATATTATTGTTTTTGTGGTAATGGGGACTTTTGTCTTCTTCGATGATTCTTCAAATTTTCGGTCGTCTAAATGCATTTTGGTCAATGATTCTCAATGGGATTATCATTCCGATCCAACCACGCTTACTTTGCGTGTAGGAGAGATAAACAATGTTATAATTGGTTTCAATCATCTCTATTAATTGCATTATGACGAGTCAATGTATAAGCAAAAGCATTACAAAATAATCCTAATATTAAGGATTTCTTGTCTTTTGATATTGCAAAGAGTAAATCGCGTTGATATATTGTGTTTTTTCAAAATATTCACCCCGTACGTATTTGCAAGAAATAATAATTAAACCGCAAACACAAAAGGAAAAAGACAAATCTAGAATGCAAAGTAAAAGGGTAACAAATAAGTTAGTCTTCTAAAACTGATGATCCAAAAAATCAACGCAGGGGAATGTAACCCCCTATGTGTGTATGTATATATATATATATATATGATATATAGAAGGATTAATTTCAAAAATTTCTCTGAATTATGATTCTTGTAACACTTTTCTCCTTGAATTTTAAAAAGTAACATTGATTCTCTCCGAACTTTGTTCCGTTAACAAGTTTTATCAGCTGTTACAATGAGTGACGAAAATCCTCACGTGTCAGATACATGACCCGTCTGAGGAGGGTATTATCGTAAATTAACCTGCAACAACCCTAGGTTATTAAAAAAATGATTAAAAAAACTGAAATGCGTTAAAAAAACACCCATTATGTCGACTTTTTTAGTTGTGTTAGGGTTAAAACTTTTCTCTAAAAAAGAAAAATCTAAGGAAAAATCAACCTTCATTGTAAATTTCCGTGTTTGGTTGTGTTTGGTTCAACTTGTCAAGCCTTTCGACTAATTCTGTAACCACATCTCTTACACTGAAATCTAATTCTAGAACCAGCTCTCTTGCACGGAAATTTTCTCCACTATCAAGCCACTTTCCAAACCCACAGCCTCTCTCCTCTTCATTATGCATTCAATCATAAAAGTAAATCTACGGTAAAATAAGAAACGAGTAAAAATAAAAGTAATATGGACACATAGTATTTTATGTGGAAAATTCTTAAAGAATATGGAGTAAAAATTACAGGACAAATGTAAAATGATTTCATTATAAAAAAATGAGGATTGCAACATTTTCTCTAAATTATACGGAAAGAACAATAAGAACCATTCTCTTATGTAAATAAGAGAAACACCTCACAAAAGAAGAAAAATTGAAGAAAATAAATTTCTTTCACACTATAAGAATTCTCTTTAAAGGTTGAGAATGAGATGCTTATGCTCTTCCTCTAACCTTCTTATATAAGCTCCAAAAATGAACCGTAGTTACGAAAAACTTATGGCTAAAAATTGACCAATTTATGACTATTAATTTTACTTAGCTACTATTTAACCACTTCGCTAAATCTAGTCCACATAATTTTGTGGACTTAATCATAAGCCTTAAATTTTGCTAATTTTGAGCCTTTAGGCCTAAACCTAATCCAACAAATTCCTCTCTGTATGACTTGTCACAACTTCGCATGGGCAACCCATTTGTCATAATTTTATTTTATGTAGTAATTAAGAATAAGAAATTTGTCGCAAGTGTATTGATTATGTAATGTCTGATGTATGTGTGGAGGCACTTTCTTTTTCTTTTTTTGCCTCTTCTCACATCTCAAACTCATAAATGCTCACTTAGGTCCCGTTCATTTCACCGATTTGAGTTTAAAATTCGAGTTTTGTTACAGTAAAAAGCTCTCAGAAACAATCACATCTAACTTTTTTGTTACATTAAAAAACTCTCACATAAAATCACATCTCAACTCGAATCAGCGAACGAAACGAGCTCTTAGAGTTAGTGTGAGCGGTAAAAAAAAAAAAAAAAAAAAAAACTCTTTTTTGGGTGGCGCATCCAATTGTCGCTTAAAATTCTGTGTGTGTGTGTGTGTGTGTGTGTAAAGTGCAGAAGAAATAACGAGTCGGACTGGGATTGAAAAAAGTTGATTGTTTTACGCTTCTCGGGATGAGAATTAAGCAGCTGGTTTTAAAAAGGCAGAGACGTTAGTCTGACTATTACCTATCTATTATATAAGCTGCTCTGAATTGCTTTATCCTTAAAACTGGTAAGCCTGTCTCTTTTCCTTTTTAATCTTTTTTTGACCCCCTCTGAGGGAATGTCAACATCAAGCAAAAGGAAAAAAAAAGAAAAAAAAAAGACTTGTTTTTTTAAAAAAAAAATTTCTTTTACATGTTTCAAGTGAACAATTTCTTAATCATAGATATATTGGAGCTAATGCTTTCCAGGTTCTCAAATTAAAGGAATTAATCCTCATCAAACTCGAAACTTACAGAGCACTATTGCTGCGATAAGTTATGAGGTTGTCATTCTCCATCAAAGATTAGCTTTAGCAGTTAGCACCAACTGACATATAATTAAAATGAGGACATATATAAAGGCAAATTAAGGCAATAATAACTTTAAGAGCATGCAAATGGAATGGAATGGAATGGAATGCAAGTCAAGTCCCCAACAGTCAAAAGTTCCAAAAGCTGAGAATATATACATATACATATAACTCAGATCAGCAGCCACCCTCTTGAGAGGCAATATATATATTACATTTACTATGCCAACTAGTGAATGAAGTAGTGATATGATTTACGACAGCCGGGTGGTGACTAGTACTAGTACAACTAGTACTTGAGTTTGAAGATGATTTGTTAATTTCTTGACATTCTTCCACAACCTCATCCGGCATGGGCATCCCTGCTATCTTCTTCTCATCTTCTGTCGTCAAATCGGCCTTTCTCATTTCATCTGCCTCCATAACTCTCAGAAACGCCTCTAGTGCCTCGCGCATCCATTCATACCGGCATAGTTCAAATGCCTCCTTTATGTTTAGCTGCAAATTACATATTAATTAAGGCCGGATTAACATCATATTATATATATATATATATGCTTAATTAATTAAGCATCTATGATTAAAGTAGCTAGCTAGTGTCTAATACATACACACACACACACACATATATATATATATATATATATATATGACAACAGTAGTAGTGTCAGTAACAAACCCATCTTCTATCGCGGTTTTGTTGCTCGGGCCAAGTGTCGAGCACCTCGGTTACCTCTAATGCAAACATATAGCCCTTGCAAACTCCTTCCTGAGCCTGAGGGCTGCAAATCATCTTCTGTTTGCTTTTGCTTCTGAACTCCCAATCTCCTAAAGGAATTTCCTAATTAACACATACATTTAAATTTGATTACACAAAGTAGTTATATTTCGGTAATCTAATATCACACACACACACATATAAATATATAGTGAACATTACATATATATATATATATATAGTAAGACGTATATGGTACTTACTGCGGGATTATCTTACCTCAAACAGAATGACATTACGTACTAATGCGTCCATGTAATTTGCATATCGAATCTCAAACACCACAAAATTGAATGGAGAGATTCAAGTATGTATGTATATATATATATATGTACCACTTTGAGATCACTCTGCTTAATTAAGAATCTTATACATATTCAGTAGTATGCACGTACTTTAATAATTCCTCTGACCCCCGCTTCCTCTAGAGCTTCACGGCAAGCAGCCTCTTCACGAGTCTCGTCGTCTTCCCATCCACCCTAACCAACACAAAAGCGCAATTGATTAAGCTCTAACTTATGCTAATTAATATCAAAATAAATTAATTATAAATAAATTAATAATTGATGTTACATATGTACTTTTGGAAAAACGAGATCGTCGCGATTTGGAGAAGAAACCATAAGAACTTGTATCCTCCTCATGTTTTCCCGCACATTTCCGCAGCCGCAATCTTCCGCGTCCTTTGCATTTGTAAGCCGGTAAGGAATACATCTGCACTTTGTAAGCCAGTACCCAAAGTTGGCCTAAAATCTTAAATATTGTTTTACCGGTCTGCAACTTGCTATTTTGGATCATCAGTTCGTTAAGTGGATATTTAGTTAATTAGTTTTACGAGTTTGGATTAAATTCAACAATTCACTTTCATTTAGCCAATATTAATGGCGTGCGTGTCATCTTTGAATAAACTATTTTACAAAGAAAAATTTTATTTATCATTCTTGATCAGGCAAAAATTACACACACACGCACACACATGTATATATATGATATTCGAAATGTGTGGTTGTACATTCATTAAAACTTTTAAATATCAAGTTTTTTTTTTTTTTTTTTTT